AGAACTCGAGGAGTAGCTTGTGGACCCGTTTTCTTTGCCGTTTGCTTGTGATCGAGATCTGGGATCTTGATCTCGGTCTTCGGACTCTCGCCACCCATCAATATTTCCTCGTCGCCAGAGGACTGTTCTTCAGTCACCTCTGGCTTCTGGATGGCAACAGCCTTAGCAGGAGCTGTGTTGTTCAGGTCAGGTAAGTGGGGCTTCCAGGCACTTCGTGCCCTCTAGCCCCTAAAAAAACCTAGAGGAGAACTAAAAAAATTATATAGTAAAAAATTAAAGTTTTTATTCGATAAGAACGACATCGCTATCGTTTTCTTCTTCCTCCTCCTCTTCTTCATAGTCAGTATCTGATGGCTCTTTGTCAGCCACATGACCAGCAACAAATATTGAGACAAATTGTTTCTTTGGTTTTGTTAGCAGGAACTTTTGATGGTCGTAGAACACGAATTCTACATTTTGAAAATGTTGTGCTGAGTATTCTGTGAAATGGGAAATTGGAATTGGTGTATCCTACAACATACAACTATTACGAAGAAGCAAATGAATATGGAGAACTCTCATTCCATTTCACACTTTCAGTTCCTGAGGGAGAAGAAAAAGCAATCTATCATGTACAATCTCTTGCAGGATGTGAAGGAAAACCTCACATAATAACTACTGTTGCAATTGAGAAACCTGCAAGAGTCGAAGACGATGTTTTGTTCGCGTCCATTGCTGGTTTTGGCATGGGAGAACCAATTCCAATTTCCCATTTCACAGAATACTCAGCACAACATTTTCAAAATGTAGAATTCGTGTTCTACGACCATCAAAAGTTCCTGCTAACAAAACCAAAGAAACAATTTGTCTCAATATTTGTTGCTGGTCATGTGGCTGACAAAGAGCCATCAGATACTGACTATGAAGAAGAGGAGGAGGAAGAAGAAAACGATAGCGATGTCGTTCTTATCGAATAAAAACTTTAATTTTTTACTATATAATTTTTTTAGTTCTCCTCTAGGTTTTTTTAGGGGCTAGAGGGCACGAAGTGCCTGGAAGCCCCACTTACCTGACCTGAGAGGTCCTATAAACCGGAGAAAGTGTCACAATAAAGAAATTTTATTAGTAAGTAAATGTGGTTTGAAATAGGACTACTTGTTTTAGGTTTTTTCCATTGTGTCATTTATTTATTTGACGTGGCAGAAAAGTACAGAGAATATGAAGATGAACCAATGCCTGCAAATGTTCAGTATATGTACTCGTAAGAGATATTTTTATCTAATATTAAATGGACGCACAGAACTTAGCGAATGCACAGCAACCTGGACAACCAAACCCAGAGAATATTCCAAATGAAGTTAGAATACAAACTGCAATGGCAAACTATGGTCAAGTGCCAACAGATGTACAAATGCAAACTGCCATGTCAAATGACGCTGCGTTAGGTTTGCCACCATGGTATGCAAATATGAGATGGAAAGAGTTTTATACAAACCCTGAAGTCGGATATAAACAACTTTATGCAGATGACGCGAACACAGGAGTTGACCCAGAATATGTTTTCTACCAGAGGAGAAACAGAATGTATGAGCTCCAGTTAAAGAATGCTATGGAACTCAACAGGAAACGTAAGAGACTAGGCGGACATTAGATTTTTACACGTAGTAAATGGGTTTCTTCAGTAGTATTGGAAACTTCTTCAGAAGAGTTGGAAGAGGTATATGGAATGGAATAAAAACCGTAGGAAGAGGAGTATGGAACGGAGTCAAAAATATTGGTAAAAGAGTAGGTCAGTTTGTTGGTATTATACCTAAAGACCCTGAACCAGAAGAACAAGCTCCTGTTATACAACAGTCTGAACCTGCACCACAGTCTAGTTGGCAACCAAATCCAACACCTCAACCGTATTAAAAAATTATATTTTTACCGTTCGATAGTAGTTGTATATGAAACTAAGTTCTAAGTAAAACGCATGGTATAATGGAATTATTCTTTTTCTTCCATCTGTAGTAAACCATACTTGAAAGTCTGAAATACTTCCACTCGGCGGTTCGTATAACTTTGTAGGTTTTTCGTAAAAGTCATTTGCCAAGCATAAGAAAGAGTTTTGGGCGCCAGAAAATGAAGCATGAACAATAATAGCATCTTGGTCGAAAATATTTTCATATGTTCCATTAGGGTTTTCGACTTCATAATAGTCCGGGTGTACTGGATATGCTGCAGGCTGATTTAACATCCTCATAAATCTATACCATGCCAAGTTGTTATATTTTGTAGAAATATAAACGTTTTCTCCAAGGTCTTCTATTTTATTGATTTTAACAGTTGCATTTTTCCTGTCATAAATAATATCGAGATGGTATTCTCCTTCGTCAATGTTATACTGGTTTGCATATTCGATATAGATATCGTTTATTTTTTCTTGAAAAGCTTGAAGAGTTGTTTCTAAATTTACAAGCAAACTAACTTGTAAAAGTTTTCCCTGTTCAAATTTCTCATACATACGTTTTTCTTTGTTATAGTATCGAACTTCAAAACCGACCGTAAATGGGAAACCATGTATGGCTTCTGAAATGAACTTCATTCTACGAAAGCCAATAGCTTTTGTGACGGATGGGTCTCTTAACCATCTTAATGGGTAGTCAAAACGATAGCCTTCATGCTTTACGGTCTCTGTCTCAAACTTTTGACCGACATTAGTAAAAAGTTCATCTAATGGTTTAGTTGTAGCAACTCTTGAATTTTCTTTTTCTATTGAAAGCATATTTTATCTAGAATAAAAATGTCGAAAGATATTGCTTCCATAAGAGAAATACAACACAACCGACAACTCATTATGCAAGCTCTAAATAAGAACAAAACAAACTTTTCAAACTATTCTAAGATATCTGAGTCATTGAAAGAAGGAAACTTAAAACTGACATTAAACCCAATGACAGATGAGTTTCTATTTCAAGACAAGAAGAACAATACTGTCTGTATAAATCCAACAAAAGGAACTTTAAACGAGAAACCTATAAATGAACTTCTTTTGAAAGCAGATGTTGACAACAAAGCTGACAAAGAATATGTAGACGATGCAATAGCAAAAGAAGAAGAAAGAGCTAACAATGCTTATGCAACAAAAGAACATACTCATCCTGAACTAGCAGACAAAACATATGTTGACAATAAAATGTCAAGTGAAGTGACAAGAGCTGAAAACGAATATTCTAAAAAGACTCATATACATTCTATATCTGATATTACAAACTTACAAGAAACCTTAAACAGGAAAAGTGCCGTTGGACATACACATTCTATATCTCAAATAACAGACTTAAACGTTAGCCTTGAAAAGAAAGCAGACAAGAACCATACACATGATTTCTTCACAACTGTTGCTATAGAAAGTATTGAAGGAACGGTTGAAGAAACTGGTGGGGATGCATTATATTGTAAACCTCCTAACTTTCCACAAGGTTTAACATCGGATGACGACATAACGACGATGAGAAACATTAGATGTAAAGATGTTTATGTCATGAAGGATGAACATAATATTAAATTCACTGCTCAAGATTTATATGACAAGAAAGCAGACAAAACAGAGCTTCAAACATTAAAGACAGAAATACTTCAAACATTATATCCTATAGGCTCTATTTATACGTCAATGAACTCTACCAGACCAGAAGTAGTACTTGGTTTTGGAACTTGGACTCAAATAGTCGACAGGTTTTTGTATTGTGCAAACTCTTCAAAGGAAACAGGTGGAAGTAAAACGATTTCAGGTGAAAATTTACCTGCACACAGTCACTACATAGATTTAAGTACATCTCAAGCAGGTTGGCATAAGCATAGATATTGGGATTGGTCAGCAATGACAAAAGGTAAAGGATATGATGTTAAAGACAACGTTAAGTTTGCTATAAATTGTTACTGGAGTAACACTGAGGGAGGAGTAAACCATACACATTTCGTTACAGGATATACACAAACAACGGGACAAAGTAAAGAATACATGCCACCTTACATGACAGTTTACGCATGGTATAGAATTGCTTAGTCGTCATTTTCAACTTCTTTAGCATATTCGTCAGGAGTTGTCTTATATTTGTTAGGAACTGTCTTTGAAAGTATACCACCTTGAACTTTGACAAGTTTGAAACGAGGTCTGACAATAGTAGTTTTATCTTCTGCTTGCAGTGTGTACATTTTGCCATGTTTGCCTAAAACTTCATAATATTCTCTTGTATACTTTCTTCTATTTTTACGAACACGAATGTGAGTACCTGTCGAGTTCCCATTGTTGTCATAGTCAATAGTATTTTCATATGGGTCGCGTTTAGGTATTTCTATTTTTACTTTGTCACCTTTCTGAAGTTTGAAGCCCGGCATTCTTTCTTGTTTGTCTCTTTTGACTAAATTATTAAATATATAGTCTTTCTCTAAGTCGGGGTTGTTTTTCATTTCTTCGGGGGAGTGGTTTCCCAAACCTTTTTGTTTACGGTTATTGTAAATATTTAAAACTTGTCTCATCTTTGCCATGGAGAAATGTCTATATTTGTCGTCATATGACATTTCATTTGCTTCACCACCTTGTGGTTGGTTTAAGTCTCTTAACATTTTTATACAACCGTCAATGACACCAAGAGCAGAATGGTTTTGGTCGACAATGAAATATTGGTTTACATTTTTTGAACGCAGATAGTTTTTTACATCATCTGATTTGAAAGAACTTTCACAGTCAGATGTCAGTTTTGTTGGATGGTATTTGTCAACGAATATTGTCAAAGCAGTTTTCACATCTAAAATATTTTTGGACCATAATGGTATGGCTTCACAGTATCTTGTGTTTTGACCAACAAATATTAACCAGTATGGTGGTCCATCTGTTCTAACTCTCGGAATGTTTTCCAAGATATCCATAAACCAAGCATTTGGTGTTGAACTAAAGATTTTTACCATGAGTGCTTTCTTTGTCGCTTTAGAAACATAGGGGTCCTTGTTTGGATTCGTCATTTTTTAACCCATAAGAAATGGGTTTATTTGGCGCATTAGCAGGAGTCGCATCCAGATTTTTGCCCGCAGTGGGAACAATAGCCAGAGGTGCATTTGGAATTGGAAGGAAGATTTTGAGTACATTAGGTATACTTAAAGAGAAAGCACAACCTATTATACAAACTGTACAGAAAGGTTGGGATGTAGCACGAGATGCAACAAATCTTATTCCAAATCCTGAAACAAGAGGAAAAGTTCAAGGATGGATGGACAATGTAGGAAGACAAGCAGGAAACTATTATAACAAAGCAAATGACTACTATAACCAAGCAGGACACTATATGGACCAAGGTGAAAGATTTATCATAAGACAAATTACGGAAAGTGAACTCAAACAAAAAGTGACACAATGCATTTGCCAACCAAATAACTTTACAAAGCAAAAACTTAAATTACTTGTCAAGCTTACTATTCTTATTTTAACAATTAAAACATTAAATTTTATTTTTTATTTAAAAAAATCATCTTATATCATCTGATATATATATATCTTATTTAAAAAATCATCTTTGTCTGAATGTTAAACTATTCAGACAAAGTTTCCCGCTGTTTGCGAAGGAATTGTTGGCTATGATGTACTGATTCATGATCAGTACATCATAGCCAACAATTCCTTATACAAAGTTCAAAAACTTGGGTGCAATCAGTTCTGATTGCACCCAAGTTTTTGAACTTTCTCGAGGGAATGAAAGGGTAAGAGGTATACATTATGAATATATACCTCTTACCCTTCCATTCCCTCTCTGACAGCGGGAAACTTTGTCTGAATGTTAAACTATTCAGACAAAGTTTCCCGCTGTTTGCGAAGGAATTGTTGGCTATGATGTACTGATTCATGATCAGTACATCATAGCCAACAATTCCTTATACAAAGTTTCAAAAACTTGGGTGCAATCAGTTCTGATTGCACCCAAGTTTTTGAACTTTCTCGAGGGAATGAAGGGGTAAGAGGTATACATTATGAATATATACCTCTTACCCTTCCATTCCTCTCTGACAGCGGGAAACTTTGTCTGAATGTTAAACTATTCAGACAAAGTTTCCCGCTGTTTGCGAAGGAATTGTTGGCTATGATGTACTGATTCATGATCAGTACATCATAGCCAACAATTCCTTATACAAAGTTCAAAAACTTGGGTGCAATCAGAACTGATTGCACCCAAGTTTTTGAACTTTCTCGAGGGAATGAAGGGGTAAGAGGTATACATTATGAATATATACCTCTTACCCTTCCATTCCCTCTCTGACAGCGGGAAACTTTGTCTGAATGTTAAACTATTCAGACAAAGTTTCCCGCTGTTTGCGAAGGAATTGTTGGCTATGATGTACTGATCATGAATCAGTACATCATAGCCAACAATTCCTTATACAAAGTTCAAAAACTTGGGTGCAATCAGTTCTGATTGCACCCAAGTTTTTGAACTTTCTCGAGGAATGAAAGGGTAAGAGGTATACATTATATGAATATATACCTCTTACCCTTCCATTCCCTCTCTGACAGCGGGAAACTTTGTCTGAATGTTAAACTATTCAGACAAAGTTTCCCGCTGTTTGCGAAGGAATTGTTGGCTATGATGTACTGATTCATGATCAGTGCATCATAGCCAACAATTCCTTATACAAAGTTCAAAAACTTGGGTGCAATCAGAACTGATTGCACCCAAGTTTTTGAACTTTCTCGAGGGAATGAAAGGTAAGAGATATCCATTTCCTTTCACCTTCGTTCTCAATAATTAACTTATAAATTTTTTAAAGCAAAAAAAGTCTGATTTTTTTTGACAAGTAAATATATAGGGAATTTATCCGACCAAATAAGTGTCACTTTTTCGGTTCACTTCACTTTCCGTAACTCGTCTTACAACAATTCAATATGCAGACGAACTTGTCCGCTATTGTCCCACTCTTGTAAGAGTACTTCAAGAACGACTCTTCAACCAGTTGCTTCCTACCTTACGCAGCCCAATTCAAATTCAATTTGCCCGTGCAGCCATAAACTTCACTCCGTACTCGTACAGCTATGACGAGGATGAACTAGCTGACGAGTACGGAGCCGAAAATGTTGGCTGGGTTTTTCGCACAACTCCTTGCGAATTCCAAGTTGAAATTGTCAACCATTTCCTCGTTCGTACTATTTCGTTGCAGAATGAAGACAACGAAAAAGATGGAGTCATTCAAGGTGACCGTGTAAGAGTCATTTTCCAACGCAAAAGTGGACAAGAAATTGTATTCGAAGAATTGGTTTGCATATTCTTTAGCAATGGTCAAGACTACTGGGAAGGAAACTTGGTATTAGTCCCCGGTGAAACCATTTCTGTTTCATCGGATTTGAACCATCCATACAAGATATGGTTCAATTACGTTGCATATAACGCAGAAGACCCGACCTTTGACTCAGAATAAAAACTTCATTTATACTAAACATCTTCGGGGCTAGAGGGCACGAAGTGCCTGGAGGCCCCACTTACCTGACCTTGTTCGCTTCCATTAAAAAATGTTGTGCATGAAAAATAGTGTGACTTCATTTTTGACAAAAAGTGACACTATTTCTGATGGTTTTGTCATTTATTTGTCAGATTTATAAATGGATAATAATGCTGTAAATCAGATATTAATTAAAAATATTTAAGATTTATGTTCGAATTGAAAAGCAAAATGATATTTTTTGAGTAGGTGACAAAAGTGCATACTCTTAAATTAACCTTAAATGTTGATTTTTCGATATTTTCGGTATTAACCTTATTGTAAATTTTTCCGGTGATAAATTTATCACACTGAGGTTATTTTTCCGGTGAGATTTTTAACCTTGATTTAATGAAATGAGTGTGGTAGAATTTACGAAAAAGTGACACTTAACCTTAAATTTCCAAACACTATTTTTTGATTGTATTTTGTTATTTATATATTTATATATATTTATATATATATATGTATATATTTATATATGTATATATTTATATATGTATATATTTATATATGTATATATTTATATATGTATATATTTATATATGTATATATTTATATATGTATATATTTATATATGTATATATTTATATATGTATATATTTATATATGTATATATTTATATATAGGTCAGGTATGAGGGGCTTCCAGGGGCTGCGCCCCTTCTAGCCCTGAAGATGTTTAGTATAAATGAAGTTTATATTTGGAGGGCTTCCAGGCGCGTTGCGCCCTCTAGCCCCGAAGATGTTTAGTATAAATGAAGTTTTTATTCGGAAAATTGTTAGTCTTCTGGGTCGAAAACATTATATAATGTGTCGCTTTTCACAAATTATATATGTTTTCATATTTTGTCACTTTTCTGTCACTTTTCGGGTAAAAACATTTTTATTATTATATATAAATGAATTTTACAAAACCACCGTTACCGTTCTTTGGAAATAAGAGTAGATGTAAAGATATTATATTGAGAGAACTTAAGAAACTACCGAATGGTCTAACATTTGTAGATTTGTTCGGTGGAAGTTTCTATATATCCCATTTATGTCATACAATATTCCCAGACTCAAAGATTATATGCAATGACTTCGACAACTATATGGACCGTCTCAAACATATTCCAGACACAAACAATATATTGAAAGAGTTAAAAGAAAAGATACCTATAGGTAAGATTGAACGTATACCATTAGATAAGAAAAATATTGTGAGAGAGGTTTTGAAAAAAGCAGAATATATAGACTGGAATAGTATATCTGCTAGACTATTATATAGTGGTGCTATAAGAGTTCATGACATTGAAACACTTATGTCAAAAGTTTTATATCTTAACTATACAAATGTTTTCAAAGAGGACATAGAAAAATATATTGAGGGTATAGAGTTTGTGAGATGTCATTGGACAGAGTTGTATGAAAAATATAAAGACAAGGAAAATGTTTTCTTTATAGTGGACCCGCCGTTCTATAACACATGGGATTTTCAATACCAAGTAGACTGGACTTTGAGAGACTCTTTAGAAACTTTAGACGTTATACATAACCATCCATGCTTTTACTTTACATCCGATAAAAGTGGCTTGGAAACCGTTATGAGATGGTTAGAGGACATACATGACTATGAGTTTATATATGACAAGATAGAATATGAGAGAGGTCCTATAAACTGGAGAAAGTGTCACAATAAAGAAATTTTATTAGTAAGTAAATGTGGTTTGAAATAGGACTACTTGTTTTAGGTTTTTTCCATTGTGTCATTTATTTATTTGACGTGGCAGAAAAGTACAGAGAATATGAAGATGAACCAATGCCTGCAAATGTTCAGTATATGTACTCGTAAGAGATATTTTTATCTAATATTAAATGGACGCACAGAACTTAGCGAATGCACAGCAACCTGGACAACCAAACCCAGAGAATATTCCAAATGAAGTTAGAATACAAACTGCAATGGCAAACTATGGTCAAGTGCCAACAGATGTACAAATGCAAACTGCCATGTCAAATGACGCTGCGTTAGGTTTGCCACCATGGTATGCAAATATGAGATGGAAAGAGTTTTATACAAACCCTGAAGTGGGATATAAACAACTTTATGCAGATGACGCGAACACAGGAGTTGACCCAGAATATGTTTTTCTACCAGAGGAGAAACAGAATGTATGAGCTCCAGTTAAAGAATGCTATGGAACTCAACAGGAAACGTAAGAGACTAGGCGGACATTAGATTTTTACACGTAGTAAATGGGTTTCTTCAGTAGTATTGGAAACTTCTTCAGAAGAGTTGGAAGAGGTATATGGAATGGAATAAAAACCGTAGGAAGAGGAGTATGGAACGGAGTCAAAAATATTGGTAAAAGAGTAGGTCAGTTTGTTGGTATTATACCTAAAGACCCTGAACCAGAAGAACAAGCTCCTGTTATACAACAGTCTGAACCTGCACCACAGTCTAGTTGGCAACCAAATCCAACACCTCAACCGTATTAAAAAATTATATTTTTACCGTTCGATAGTAGTTGTATATGAAACTAAGTTCTAAGTAAAACGCATGGTATAATGGAATTATTCTTTTTCTTCCATCTGTAGTAAACCATACTTGAAAGTCTGAAATACTTCCACTTGGTGGTTCGTATAACTTTGTAGGTTTTTCGTAAAAGTCATTTGCCAAGCATAAGAAAGAGTTTTGGGCGCCAGAAAATGAAGCATGAACAATAATAGCATCTTGGTCGAAAATATTTTCATATGTTCCATTAGGGTTTTCGACTTCATAATAGTCCGGGTGTACTGGATATGCTGCAGGCTGATTTAACATCCTCATAAATCTATACCATGCCAAGTTGTTATATTTTGTAGAAATATAAACGTTTTCTCCAAGGTCTTCTATTTTATTGATTTTAACAGTTGCATTTTTCCTGTCATAAATAATATCGAGATGGTATTCTCCTTCGTCAATGTTATACTGGTTTGCATATTCGATATAGATATCGTTTATTTTTTCTTGAAAAGCTTGAAGAGTTGTTTCT